ATACATAAATGAAATTACATAATCCATATTGAAAAACAACAAAGCATGTTCACGTAGCATACATATATCATATATATATTATTTATAGCATACACTATCCATTCATCATGCTTTTTCTCTAAAACAAATAATGCATGATCATGGCCATTCTTATTCTATCATATCATGAAAATTTTCAATTGATTTCTCAAAAATTTCATAGATGCTGCTGATGATGATGATGAATTCAGTTGAGAATGTCTTCCTTCCTAGACACCTCTTGCTAACATGTCCCTATACCTCTTGAAAGACTCTTGCTTCTGCATCCTCATCTCTCTATGAAACCTCCTTATAAACACATCAGCAACATGATCTATCTCATCTTCAAGACAAAAGCCATTGCCATCTTCTCTAGAGTTCCTCACCAGATCTATAACAGATCCTGTTCTATTAACAATCTCATCATCTTCTTCATCTTCTTCGTCTTCCAACTCAAAGAATGTGTTTCTAAGATCTGGATAGTCATCTTCTTCATTGAGTTCAACATCTTCCATTTTACTAATGTCCGCAGATATCTTCTTTGCTGCATTGTTGTATAATACAATTGCCTTACTGTAATTCTCTCCCATAATGGCATGAATCTTGTGGTTGATTTTGCTCAAAAGAACATTTTTATTGCGAAGAAGATTGAAAATAAGAAGCCTGGTTTTGATGGCACTGGTTTTGTTCTTCATTGCCATGGTTTTGGCTTTAACAATGGTGGATAGGAAGGAGAAGATCTGTTTCAAGAAGGCTGAAGGTTTGACGTTCTTCATTTTGGAAGGAAGAAGATGAATTGGGAGTTGAGATAATCAGAGTTCTGTGGGATTAACTGTTATTCAAGAGATGGAATGGAAGACTGATCGAGGATAGAAAAAGAGAGTTATTGTGATTTTGGAATGCTAAGAAGGAAAAGAATTGACTAAGAGACATGGAGGATTTTCAGTAGGATGTACAGAGTATTTATAGAAGGTGTGGAGTTCTGTGAGCAGATTTTGATCTTGTCAGATATTTCTGATATTTATTGGTTATATTTTTTTAAAGGGGCAATTTCAAACATTTAAAATTTAATTTTTTACAAAACTAACCTTTTTTATTTTTTATTTTTTTCAAACTCTTATCCAAATAAAGAAATTCACAATAAAACCCCACATATTTTTTTACTTTGTTGAATTACCAATGATTTTATCGTGTTATGTGCAAATATATGAGTTTGATAGTTTCAATAAATGGCATGAATATTAGTTTTGTTAATAAGCAAAATTTCGATGTTATTTATGTAATTCCACCTTTTTTTTTAAATGTCCGTTAGAGATTATTTGGGTGATCAAGTTATTAATAAGAGTACACGTTTTAGATATCTTGGGTCTATTGTTCATGGTAATGGTGAAATGGATCAGAATATTATCAGTAGAATTCAAGTTGGATGGTTGAAGTGGAGGAATGCATCGGGTTCTTGTGTGATAGAAAAGTACCCCTCAAATTTAAGGAAAAATTCTATAAGATGGTTGTAAGAATTGCAATGCTTTATGGTGCAGAATGTTAGTCATTAAAAGAGAAGCATAATATTAAGTTAAGTGTTGCAGAGATAAGCATGCTCTGGTGGATGAGTGGCTTTACTCTTATAGACAGTATATGAAATGAGCAAATACGTGAAAAGGTTGGAGTAGCTTCAGTGAAAGACAAGATTAGAGAGAGTCGCCTTAGATGGTTTGGTCACATAAAACGACGACCTGCCAATGACCTGGTTAGGGAAGTAGATGTATTAGATTTGACTTATGTTAAGAAAGATAGAGATGGACTTTAAAAACTTGGTTAGAAAATATTAAAAATGACATTTATTTAATAGATTTAAATGGGTATTTGACTCTTAACAAAACACAATGAAGAAAAAAGATTCATGTAGCCAACCCCATGCATATAGTGGGATAAAGGCCTGACGTTGTTGTTGTTCTTATTATAGGGACTATTTGTAAAAAAAAAAAAAACTTAAAAACTGTTGTCATATTATT